CACACACCCTGGACAGCACACCAGTCCATCAGAGGGCAGACACACACACAGACGCACACTCACACCAGGGCCAAGATACCCATGAATCCGAAGCATCTCTTTGGACTGTGGGAGGAAACTGGAGCCACCTTCCCCCAAGCACTTTCTAATCCAGCCTCCAAGCCTTCTTCTTCAGAAGGGCTTTCATTAATCTGCCCCCTGGCACTTCTTCTGCTTTCTAAACCGAATGGGCTAATTTTGTTACCTCTCGGTTCACTTTTGAGAAGTTACTTTTAAAGGGGCCATATAAAATGAAGATGACAATGATGATGATAACAACCATCATCATCAAGGGGGACTTTGGGGGGGGGGGGTCATCCCTCCTGAACCTGCATTACCAATGCAATGAAAAGCACAGAAGCAGCACCTTATGGGAAAAAAACAAACCACACGGGGGTTTAAAGACGTGCGTTCAGCAATGACCTGAGGACCCTGGGTCACGAGATGGAAGGAGTCACGCCTGCACAGACACCGTCAGCCAAGCCGAAGTCTAGGCCTGGCCCTGGGCTGGAGGTAGCTGCAGTGGCAGTGCTCTCTGGGGCTTGTGAAACTGGGGCCCTGCAGGGCTGAGACCCACAGGTGCAGGAGAAAGAGAACTGCAGCAGGTCAGAGAGCGAGGGCTAGGCCCGATCTGTATCTGCGACCGCCGTGTGGGGCCCCTGCACAATGAAGAGGAAGTAGCTGTCGTCTTTGACTGGAGCTCTGTGGTGCAATTCTAGCTGTGCAGAGCTTGCACAGCAATGGAGAAGTGCGTTTATTTGCAGCTCGGCGCAGCTGACCAGCGCGATTCCAGTTCTAAGCTACAGCGCGTAGAAGCGGGGGCTGTGGTGGAGGTTTTGTTCACTTCTGGGTAATCGTTTTTAGGCCCGTGGTGCGAGCGCGTCTTCCTGTAAGTTGTCATCGATCACTGGAAAGTCTGACCTGCTGAGGTCGGAGGGAGAGTGAAGAGAATCCCGTAGGAGGGTGATATCGAGAACGGAAACTCTTGAATAACGCATTCAGGGTGATCCTGCCTGGCATAGCCGGAAAATCTGCATTTTGAATCTTGGCTTCTGGTTTTTGTTCCACGATGGTGGACATGACACTTGAAACACTGCACCCATATGCTTTGGCCATTTTGTTTGTTTACAGGGCGATTGAAAGCTAGGAGGTGGGAGTAGAGATTAAATATTGCTTCTCTGCTTTACTAGTCTGTTGCACTGTAGCAGCAGATTAGCTCTTGGGTGCTGGGTTCAATACAAGACTGGAGTACCTTCTGCGTGGAGTTTGCATGTTCCCCGCTAATGTCTGGGTTGTCACCCCAGTGCTTTCCTCCCGCCTCCCAAAGGCCCACTGGCTGGGTTCATCTAAATTGTCCCTGACAGACTGGCGTGCAGCCGAAGGTGTAGGCCCCCCCTCGTGTCCAGTGCTCCTGGAATAGGCTCCCAGGTGTCATCCACTAGCTCAGCCTGGTTCACTGTCGTGCACTGTGCTCCGCTAATCAACAGCTGAAACCCACTCTGAGCCAGAGACCACCTCTACCACGAGCCGCTCGCAGGTGGAGGCAAGGAAAGAGAGGGAACGGGCTCGCAGCGAAACGGGGCCCGACGGGCCAGACGCGGCTCGGAGCAGATCCGAGAGGGGGATGGGTTAGTGTCATGTGAGCTGGCCAAGGGGAACAGATGAGCTGCTGCGAAGCTCGTCGCTCTTTGCTGTGAAACCCACAAGCGCTGCCTATACATTTCAGAGGGGTGTGGGGGTGTGTGTGTGTGTGGGAGGGGGGGCTGCGCTCTGCAGCTTTTAAGAGGCAGGAGGGCGATAGACCATGAGACAGGTTGCCAGAGAGGGGAACAGGGCAGGCAGGATGTGGGAGGATATTAATAACATTGCTTTACACCCGAACCTATAGTCTTTCGATAGCTGCTTGTTGATTATTTTGAGATGCAGTCCGCAGCAGAGGAGACCTATAGGAACAGTGGATTGCATGCTGGAGTCCTCAGAAGCACTAGAGTTTAACACAGATGGAGGCTCCTTAGCCCCTTGTGTGATTTGGAAGACAACTGGTTACACAAGAGCTCATTTGCAAGTGCTGTTACTAAGGGGGGGGAGCATGCTTATCCAACCCATTTATGTAGATTTTTATTTAAAAAAAAAAACATTTCCAAATGTTTGAGCGTTTGTCTGTGGCTTGGAGGAGGCTGTGTCTCACCACGCGTAAAGGGAAAACCAGTTCAGATTGAATGCATCTGGAGTTCAGGCTGTGAGGCCACAGAATGCGTGACTCTAGAAAGGGGGGGCAAAACGTCCCCGAAGCAACCCCCGCCGCAACCGCCGGGGAACCCAAACCCAAAAGGGGGCCAACAAGCCGCCCCCACGAAAAAAAACCCGCCCCGCCCCAAGAGCTGCAAACTGGAGAGCAGCTGATGGAGAGACGCTCCGTGCCCCTATCTCCTGACCCAGTAACAGGACAAAACAGAGGTCACAAAGCCCGTGCTTTACATACTCAAGCAGAAGAGAAAACAGAACTATCCCTCAGTGCTACCTGGGATTTCTTTAAATGAACAGTAATGACCTGTTTCAGGATCTGAAAGACACACATACTGTACGTTGATGTCAGATACAGAACACTTGCATCTGTAGTATTTTTGATCTTGTCTATTCTAAACAACACAAACTTTAATTAAACGGTTTAAACTTAATGTGCACATACTGCCCGGGCTCTAATCTAGACGTGTGAAAGAATAGAGTCTACACGAGTGCTCACACAGTAATGGCTGTGGCCCAGCTCTGGTTTTGCCGACGCTGGCTTCCACATCCCAGCCCAGCCAAAGGTGCCAGTCTCCTGCCGCAGGAGAATCTACTCCTCCAGGTCCTCAGTGGGGGACGTCGCCCTCAGCAACAGGGCTGGGGGTTCGGCTCCAGTGCTTCTTCGCTGAATGAGGGCCCTTGATGTCTCACATTGTGTCCGGTCAGACGCGGGGTATCATCTGTGTTTTTCCAACTGCATCTGCAGCGATAAAGAGAACCGAAGCCAAGCCATTTTCTCCAGCAGGGGTGGCCAGTGTCTGTGTTTTGCAGAGCCAAGCTCGAGTTTGTTGCAGATTGCGGCCGACTGAAGACAGGACCTCCATATCGCGGCTCGATTGTGAATTTGCCCTTTCTGTAATTTCCAACTTTCAATTATTCCCAACCTCACCCCCTCCCCGCTGCGAGTTTTGGAACAGGCAATTAAGTTCATTAATTAGTAAACGGAGTGGAAACTAGGACAACCACGAGTGCGCTGTTGTCACTTCTTTCGTTGGCATGCTGGAGAGCCCCAGTGTACCAGCAGCTTGGCTGAAGTATCTGTCAGAGGACTGCTGCAGCTCTCATCGAGCACTGCCGCGGGCCCTCGTAGTGCTAATGAATCCCAAAACCAGTGCTACTTGTGCACCAGTAACCAGCTGCAAGCTATAGAGCTCAACTAGTGCTCTGTGTTGTACCGATTGAGTTCCTTAGTCGTACCTGTGGTTTTTTTTTAATTCATTCCTTTGGTTTTGTCATCGGATCTCTTGCAGTTCCCCTGACACTGACGGCAGATGAGAGGTCGGAGATCGAAAACATCAAGGTGCACAAACACGACCTGTTGGAGGACATCCAGGTAACATGCAGGTCCCGCTGTGCAACTGCAAGGGCTGCTGGGAGCTTTCAGCTGCTCGTAGCGTGCTGGTGCGCAGGGATGGGCTGCGAGCAGTTATTACCAGTTCCACATCGGTCTCGATGAGGAGAGGGCAACAATGAGTCAACCCCATAGACCCCATAACCTAGATCCCAGTTCACAGATCCTCTCTGTTTTCAGGGTGATATTCATATCTTACACTCTCGTTTCCTTCCTGTCATACTTATGCAGTTCCCCGCTTAACATGTAATTTGCCACATGTTCACCTTTCTAGTTTAGTATTCTCTGCAATTAAGTCCAGGATGTCCCATCGTGCTCCTGGCAGGCCAGTGTTTCTGCAGCTTTTCATTGCGGCCCTGAGAGGAGGACCTCAGACTGATCCTTGGGGTACACCCATTAATAACCCATGCTCACTTCCTTTACCCATCCATCCATTTTCTAACTGCTCCCTCCAGTTCAGGGCCGTGGGGGAGCCCATCACTGCAAGCACAGCCGCAGGGCAGGGCACACCCTGGACGGGACGCCAGTCCACCGCAGGGCCCACACACAGACACACACTCACCCCGGGGCCAATGAACCCACCAGCATGTCTTTGGACTGCGGGAGGAAAACCATGCAAACACGGGGAGAGCATAGCAACAGCACGCGCTGCACGCCCGGGTCTGGAATTGAACAAGCTATGCTAGGAAGGAATGCTGACCCCTGCGCACACGTGCGATAAAGCTCTGGGGGAAAAAGTGCTCCGATTCCCACTCTGCTGGGCAGGTTGTGGGGAGCTGTTTTTTCACTTGGGATGGACAGTGTGGGCTGGAGGCTGCTTGGAATTCATGTCACACCGCGAGACATCTGGTCCCCAGAGTAAAGGATGCTGACAGCCCGAAATCTTTAGAAAAAGAGAAGCAGCCAGGCTTAAATGGGCAGAGATTCGCTTGTGTTTCTGCCTGCCAAAGCCACAGTCCCTGAGTCACGTCACCCTCTGGCCAGCACCGGGGCTTCGTGGCAGGAGGGGCTGACTCATCCAGCGTGTGGCCTCCACCTGACCTTCCGAAACTTAGCAGAGGCCTCGCGCCGGGAGGTGTCTCCTCGGTGTGAAGAACGAGGTGCCCGTCTTCCACTCTGGGGCTTCTGGTTCTGTCGGGACAGAGGGGTGAGGAGCTGGCGGGGGGGGGCTGACATTGACAATGGCTGACATTGATGTTCCTGCCTCCCGTCTGTTTGCAGAAGCTGAAGATGGAGATCGCCAACGTCATCGCGGAGATCGAGGGCTTTGAGCAGGAGGAGGAGAAGTGAGTAGGGTGTCGTAAGGGACCGAATTAAGAAATGAGCTCATCTGGGTGCAGACCAAGCGGGACTTCCTGTTCCTGCTGCTCAGATGCTTAGCGTGACTCCCTGGCGGACAAGTGCATCCTGAGAAAGTCACAGCACGGAGGTCAGGCAATCCACTCCTGATTTATGTGGTAAAATGTCATCTAAAACCAGATATGGAGTTACATATCAAATTGACATTAACTGCTGCATTATGACTTTTGAAACAACAAATGACAAAATCTGTGAGATGGCACGGCCGGTAGAAAAAATAATTCAGGAAGTGTCAGGCTGGGTGAACAGTAAGTACTTGAAGGTGACATTACACCACATAAAGCATTAAAAGCAATTTAAATTGCTGGAAATTGTGTTCAGGAAGACAGTACCCAGGCGGTTCAAGTTACGTTTGTTTTATGCACGGATTTCAAGGCGGTTTGATGTGAATTTAACTTGCGTGGTGCAGGACGCCTCAATTTTGCTAAATTTGAAAAGAACAGCGAAATGAGGCTCACAGCCCCAGCCCTGCGGTCAGGAGGCTGGGTCATTGGAGACAACGACCTCCTGGACGTGACTTCCCAGAATGCTCTAGGAGGGCCTGTGTTGAGCGTCATGTATCGGCTCCTTAGCAGGAGATGTGCAAGGCTTTTGAAATACATCCTGATGACGTAATAAGATTTTTTTTCTCCCTATCTGCATTGCTATCAAGAGGCTAATTCCAATTAACAGTGCTGAGGAACTGGTGTAGATCAGTGCGTAAGACTGAAACATAGATGCACTAACCCAGCAGTCATGCTGTCTCTGAGAAATGCCCATGACCACTGCGGTTCTTTAAATAGGTGACGGAAACTGCTAGTAAGATCTCTAGTTATTTTTACTAAGTCTTCCCAGTGTGTCACAATCGGGCAGAAAAAGAGGAACAGGCGCAGCTGTCTGGACAGGCTTCAGATTCAAGGCTTGATTGCGGGGAAGACTCTGTCTCGAGTCTTCGCATTTCTGCTGGAAGTGACTGAACTTGTGCCGGTTTTCAAAGAGAAAACGTTATGTGATTTCGCAAAGTCACAACCGCACAATTTGTACTGATAACTCTTCTGGTTGGCTCTTATGATAACACTACCAAGTGGAAGGCAGTGGTGCCAGCTATCTAGCTTCTAGCTGATGTGGATAGAGGTCTTCTAGCCTTCTAGTCTGAAGTTCTGGAATAGATGATGAGGCTGTGATAGATGCATTAGTTGAGTAACAGTTGCGAACGGTTATTCTTTTTTGTGAAAATATGGGTTGTGAACTAATGTGATGTGATATACTTGTTTGAAATCATAGAATAATAAATTTAACCCACCCATCCATGCGACTGCAGTATCTACCCCTCCGTACACCTGCCTACCCATCTACTGTATACAGTATATCTACAGTCTACCCACCTACAGTATACACCCACCAACTCCTCTACTGTATATACCTACAATCTACTCCTCC